GCCGCCCGGCATAAAGACTCGGCTTCGCGCTGCCGGGAGACCAATTCCGACCTCTCTTTCCCTCCGCTCTCTGGCCTTTGACTTTTCAGCAGCGTAGGCTTTTTCGTAAGCGGGCAGGTGCGCGAGCGCGATCGGAATGCCGAAAGCTCGCGGAATGCCGCCGAGGTTGGGCAACGACTCTCCGCCGCGGCGCGCGTGCAGCAGCGCCGCCAGACAGGCCGCCGAGCGTGCTAACGATTCGGGCGCGCGTCCCCCGGCCTCGGCGACCGAGTGCCGACGCGCACGTTCCAAGATCTGCTTACGCCGGCGCTCCCGTTCGCCGATCGCGCGTACGTGGCAGCGCGCGGCACTCCGCTCGGCGAGCGCTCGCTCCGGCGCTGCGGCGCGCGTCCCTCTAACGGCGCCGCAGCCTCCCGCCAATGGCGATCGCGGCCGAGCGGCCGCAGCGAGCTCCGAGTCAAGGGCAAAGAGGAAGACGAGGTCGCGGCCGGTGCAGCCGCGGCCGAGGAGAGAGGGAGAGTCGGCCGCGCGACGAGGCGCTCACGGGGGCGCCGGCACCGCTCGCGAGTCGACCGAGCGGCTCGGCTGGCGGGCGCGACGCGTGCCGACAGCTCGCGACGTCGACGCTCCGTTCCGTGTGGCCCGCGGCCGGCAGTCGAGCTCTGCTCGGATGTTGCCAGAAGCCCGAGAGCAATGGGAATCGAGGGAAATAGACGGCGGATCGCCGCGGCAATCTGAAAAACCGATTGGCTGAATATCTAATTGATTTGAAGGAAGTGCCGCGCGGACGGCGAGCGGATGCGCGTAACAGACCGCGGCGATCGGCTAAAATAATAAAGCGGCGACGAGGTGCGAGCGGCGCTGCGCCGCCACGAGGAGGAGGAGGAAAGGGAAAAGGAAAAGGAGGCAGACATCCATAGGCACTTTATTACTAGCAGCCGCAAAGTCTCACGAGGTTTCAACGTCAATTATATCTAGAGAATAACTTAACGGTCCCTTAGAAACAGCCTCAATGGCCTATTCAGGCGTTCGCCCGAGCTTCTCGAGTGTTAAATAATAAAGGCCATTCTCGGCGGCGAGCGAGCGTGACGTAATGCCGCTCTCTCTCTCTCTCTCTCTCTCTCTCTCAGACTCCCCCTAATACATTATAAATATGCATGTCGGCCGGTCGGTCGGTCGCTCGCTCGCTCGCGAGACCTAGGCCGAATGTTTTTGTAGTCTTGATGACGCCGAGAGCGAGAGAGAGCAACAGACGCACAAAGCCCAAAAAGATGGCAAAAGATGATTCCGAGAGTTGCAGCGCCAGCAGCCGACCGAATGGAGATGAAGAATGGGCTGCGAGAGCTTTTCAGGCTTTCCTCGCGAATATCACGCTGACGTCAGTCTGAATATTTCAAGAGGGCGAAACTTCAAAAGAACACGTGTTACGAGGCGGCCTAGGACGCACCGTTTAAATAATGCAAAGTCAACTTACTCGGCCCTCCTGCGCGCGCTCCCCGGCGCAATTGCGCTGTCTCTTTGCGCGTCCGCCGGCATCTTCCGGAATCGAAGGCTCGTTAGTACGGCGCCAGGCCTGCCTGGGCGCGGACGCTCGTTAATGTTTCAGCTGCGCTCTGCATAGTCGCCTGCGTATCGGTATAGAAAAAGCACGGCGGCAAAGTTGCGCCCCATCAATAGTAGATGAGGGCAAGTTTTCCGCGGCGGGGCGCGAGGGGCCGGGGGAGGGCAGCGCGCGGGTGGGGGCCGCCTATAGCCCGTCAAACCGGAGCAACAATGTAACGACAGCGCTGCGCGTGTGCCGCGGAGGCGCACGTGTGCGGGCAGGTGAGCGCGCGCGTCGGGCGGCCAAAGGAGGGGCTCGCCCGGCTCGCCTCTCTTTCTCTCCCGCGCGCGCGCTCCCGGCCTGCCGGACGCTCAAAATTCCGCGGGCGCGCGCGCATTTAGGCCGCCGCCGCGCGCAGCTTTTTAGGACCACCCACTTGTGCTTGCGATCGCGTGGCTCGCATTTTTTCCCCCCGATTGGCCGATCCGCCGGCGCGCCGCCACCTCCGCCGTGGCACGCGCGATCGCGCCCGCGAACCCCTTCGCTTTTCGGCGCTGCCGCTCGCTCGTCTTTGCGCGAGAGCCGTTCTCGCGAGCCCGATACAATTAAGGCGGCCGGCCGGCCTTTGAGCGAAACCTACTTTGCTCCCTCTCGCCTCGTTCTGCATTATTTTCATTTTATCGTCGGCAATCTTGGCTAATGCAATTGCCCCTCCCGCTGGCTGCTCCGCGCGAGCAGCCGTCGGTCCCTTCCGCCCGCGTGTTGTACGTGCAGAGCGCCGCGCCGGCTCGACTTGGCTGCGAACCCTTTTTACCTTGCGTTTCAATATTTTATGCGCGCCCCCGCGAATTCCTCGTCGAGAGAGAGAGTGAGAGAGGGAGCTTCTTGGGGGCCGCACCGGCACGGAAGCCCAAACTTTGACAAAACTATATAGGTTCGCCAACTATACGCGCAGCGCTGTTATTTTTGTTCTCCTGCGGGGGATAATAGGCAGCCCAAATCGATGCTTCGGCCGGGGAGCCTACATAATGCAAGCGCTCTATCGACGCTAGCGAAAGAAACAACGCTCGCGGCGTGCGTGAAGCGGATAATGGCGGCAAGACGCAGTTCGCATCGATCGCCGGATTAATTCGCAGACGAAATAGCGGTCCGCGGCGCTCGCACCTTGCGGCTAACAAGCCCGAATCCGTCATTCACGGACGCAAAGGAAAAAGCCGGTCGCGGCGGTCCGGAGACAGCCTGAATATTCAGTGGCTTTTCTCCGAGTGGCGGTGCGTCATTGTATGCAGCCGGGATCCACTTTCTAACCCTCTCGGATCGATGAGAAAGGGGGTGGCGGCAGCGGCGGCGTCGGCGTCGGCGAAGGACATTAATAATATACAGCCACGAAATTTTCATACAAAAGAGCGAGCGCGCGCGCGCTCGCACGGCAGAGATGTCGGACACTTTTTACATTGGCTAATTGATGTTTCCAAGTATAGCTTTATGACTCGGCGCGTATATATGCATGATAAATTAATGCCGGCTCTCCTCTCTCTCTCTCTCTCTCTCTCTCTCTGTACACTCTATCCCTCTCTCGGTCCCATTTTTCATTAATTTTCAATATTTATGACATTATCGCGTGATCGTCGCTGGCGTGGAAAATTCATACACAACAATAATGATATTAGCAGGGCGCGCAAATTACACCGCTGACAGAGAGAGAGAGAGAGAGAGAGAGAGAGAGAGAGAGAGAGAGAGAGAGAGAGAGAGAGAGAGAGAGAGAGAGAGAGAGAGAGAGAGAGAGAGAGAGAGAGAGAGAGAGAGTCGGAGAATCGGCCGACGGCGCGGGCAGTCGATAAAAAATCACACACAGCGCCGGCTGCAAATATCATCGGAGAAATAATCGACTGGCGAGCTGGTGGCGCGGCGCGCGAATAATTGGCTTGATTGACAAGCAGATACATAACGTCGGAATCTACTTGTGTCCGAATCAAAGAATCGCGAGGCAGCGGCGGCTGCAGGTGTGAAAGTGCGGCTCGGCTGGGCGGCGGGGGCGCGAGGGCCACCGAGAGCGAGGCCGAGCCGGATAATCGAATAATCTAAAATTTCATTTCCATCGGTCCGTCCGACGAGCGAGCGGGCGAGCGCGAGCGTTCGACTTTCATATCGGCGCGCTTTTTGCGACAGCCAGCTAAATCTAATTTATTTGCTGACGCCCGCCTGATTATTATACGCGACGCGGCTTTTTTTCCGCCTCGCTCTCTCTGTCGCGCGCACTCGCGCTCGCTCGCGCCGCTTTTCATCGGCCAAAATAAATAGCGCCGAAATAAGATCGGGGGAGCGCGGAGGAGGAGCGCGCGACAGATAACAAGGCGCGTCGGTATAAATCTGCTTGCGAAGCAATCTGCGGAATGGGCCGCTCATCCGTCCATCAAGCGAGCGGCGCTGCGGCGTAATATCGGCCGCGCGCGGCGAGCGGGGCAGGCGAGCGCTCGGCGCGAGCAAGGGTTCGGCGCTCGTATATTTATGCGAGTTCGGATGGGAAAAGGCAGCCGGCCTGGACGCGACAAGATAATTTCTGATTTACTCTGACTGCGAGTCGGGCCATTTTGCAAATGGAAAAGCCGAGTTTGACGTATGGCTGCTCCTCCGGCGCGCGCCGCTCCTGCATAAATCCGGGACGGCGGTGACCGAGGCGGCCGCGGCGGGCCGGGGCCTTGCGCGCCTCGCGCCTCCCGCCTGCAGCCATCGATTAACCATTCCGCCAAGATAGCAGGCATATTTCGCGTAACGAGCGCGCCCCGAGAATTCGGATGGGAAAAAGGACGAGGTCGTATAGCGCGAGGGTGCAGATTTATAGGAACAAAGCGAGCGTCGCCGGTAAAAGCGAACGACTCGATCTGGAGCCGGCGGCGGGTGGCGGCGGCGGCGGCGGCGGCGGCGGCGGCGTCGGCGGCGAGGTAACAAAAAATTTATGTGCAGTGTCGCGCACGAGTGCAGCGAGCTGTCGGAGGGAGCAAGTAAGCGCGCGAGCCGGGCATTTTAATACATCAAACTTTTCAATTTGGGGCGTATCGCGAGCGCGCTAGGCGCGGCTCGCCCCAGCAGGCCTGATATATCGCTCAGGCGTTACGGTTTTAGCGCCGATGTCGCTGGCCGATAGCCTTTCTTGCCCGGCGAAAGAGGGCCGCGCGCGCTCATTTCGGCGCCGACTGCAGCCAAGGAAATATGTAGTCGCATCCGCTCTCTATCAGGATGAATGGCGCGAGCGCCACAATTCACGATTTACTGTCCACGGCTCCCCTACCAGCCGGCCACCCACCTACCCATCGCTCGCGCTCTTTCCGACCGACCTCCCCTACCGACGGCCCCCCGCGCGCCGCTGGCGCGCCAACCGGCGCAAGCGTGGCCTCCGCGTGGCCGAAAAAGCCGGCTGCTAGCGCTCGCGGGCAAAGGCGCAGCGCGCCGCACTCACCCTTTCCTCCTCGCGGATCATCTCGGCGATGCCGGGCTTGATCTCCAGGTCGTCGCCGACGCCGGGCGGCTGGCCGACCTGCATGTGCTGCTGCTGCTGCTGCTGCTGGGCCTGCTGCTGGCGCTGCTGCTCCTGCTGCAGCGAGGAGAGCGCGTGGGCGCTGAGGTGGTTGACGGCGGCCGCGTGGCCGGGCGCCGGCGCCGCGTGGTGCGCGGCCAGGCCCGGCGGGCCCTGCGCCTGGGCCGCCGCCTGCGCCTGCGACAGCGCGTGCGGGTGCGGCGGCGGCTGCGCCTGCGAGGCGGGCGGCGCGAGCGGCATCGAGGCGGGCGGCGGCAGCGACAGCCCGACGGGCAGCTCCTGCAGGTTGATCTGCGGCGTGACGCTGATGCTGGGCAGGCTGGGCGAGCCGAGCGAGCGCGGCGTCGAGCTGCTGCCCAGGCCGCCGTGGCTGCTGTCCTGGCCCTGGCTGGCCACCGAGTCGTGCTCGTCGGACAGGTGGCTGCGCGCCGGCTCGGGGCTGCCGTGCGCGCTGGGCGAGCGCTCGCCCGAGCCCAGGCGGCGCTTCTTGCGCAGCGGCAGCTGCTGCGGCTGCAGGCCGGCCAGGTTGAGGCCGTCCTCGAGGCCGGCGCCGGCGCGCGAGCTCAGCTCGTGCTCGCTGTTCACGTCGGCCAGGCCGCGGATCTTGAGGCTCTCGGCGACCTTGAGCAGCGGCCCGATCTGCTCCTGCGACACGTTGATCTCGCCCTTGTACATGAACTCCACGGCGGCCTTCAGCTCCGGCCACTTGATGTCCTTCATGATGACGATGGGGTGCTGGCAGGGGTTCTCGAAGAAGAGGCTCTGGAAGTAGGGGCTGCAGGCCGACAGCACCATCTTGTGGGCCTTGACCGAGTGCCCGTCGCAGGCCAGGGTCACGTCCACGAAGCTCTCGCTCTGCAGCAGCTGGTCGAATACGTTGGTCAGGTTCGTCTGGTAGTTGTTCCAGCGCAGGCAGAACTGCTGGGGCGAGCCGGCCCCGCTCTGCTGCGTCATGCTGCCGCCGGGCTCTGCTGGCTGTCGCTCTTGGTTCGCGCGCGCGCGCGCGCGCGCTGCTCACTCACTGCACCGGTCCACCGACTAGAGCGCCCACCACACCTGCAACATCGCACTCGGCACTGGGTACGTGGTCGTCGGCAAGTCTCTCGGTCCGCGCTCGGCCGTCACTCAGGGCGCGTCGGCGCCACAGTCATCAGTCAGTCGGTTCGCACCACACCCGCACTCGGAGCACGCGCGTCGCGCCGGCCGCGCGCCGATGCGCTGGGCCCGCCTGCTGCTGCTCGGCTGAGCGACGCGGCGGCGGCAGCCTGCCTGGGAGCACGTGATCGGGTCGCTGTATGCGTGGCTCTGCGCCGAACGCTGCTGCGGGTCGTCGCGTGGGCAAGTGCACCGCGTGACGAGCGCGTCGCGACTGACGGGGCCCGCGGGTGGTTCGGCTGGCCGGCGCGCGCCGCTGCGCGTCCACGCCGCTGGTCTCCCTCCCGCCGGCGCTGCTCGCGCGCGCGCGCGCGCGCGCCCCCCACCGCCGCGCCGCGGCGCTCTGCCGCCGCTCTCGCCGCGCTCGCCGCGCGCCCCGACCGCGGCGTCCGCGCTCCTTCGCCTCCCCGCCGGTGCAGCCGGCTGGCCCCGCCTCCCCCAGAGACCGCCTCCCGACGAGCCTCTCTCCCTCCCGCCCCGGCCTCCTCCTCCTCCTCCTCCTCCCGCCCGCGACCTCCTCCCGCGCGCCGCTCGCGCCAGCTCGACTCGCCGAGATCGGCACGTCCGCGATCCCCTCGCGATCGCCGCCCAGCGCGACCGCTACCGCGACCGGCCGCCTTCCGCGCCGACCCCAGGACCGCCGAGGATGGTCCTTTGTCGCCGCCGCCGCCGCCGCCGCGGTCAACGGGAAGGACGAGCGGCGAGCGACCGGTCGCGGCGATCGCGGCGGAACGAGCAGGAGCGCCAAAGTCGTTTCCACTCGTCGAGCGAGGAAGGGCTTCCCGAGCCGCGGCGCCGCGGGAATATCGGCGCTGGCGCGAATAAAGAGGGTTAACGCGGGCATAAGTTTTTTCTCATCGGGCTCGCGATTCGCGCGCCGGAGGTGATTTTCCGCTTGATGTCGCCGCGCCGGCGCTGGCGACAGGCCGCTAAACGCATTATTAAACGCAATATCAGACGTGTAAAAGTGTAACGGCGGCGTATGCGTAGCGGCAGCGGCCAAGTAACGATGCCCGCCAGCTACTGATGAAAGAATATTGCTCGCTTTTTATGGAGGCCGGGCGCGCGGGCGCGCGGGCGCGCGAGCACTACATAAACGGGCGCGAATACGGTCCACTTGCGGCTCTCTCTCGTCCCAGCTGCGGCTCGGCTTTTATTTACAATCGCGTCCGCCTGCGCCCCGGCGCTGCCAGTTTTTTCGCGGCCGATCAGCGCGGCCTGCACTTTGATTCATCGCCGAGAGCGCCGCATCCCTCGGCGCTCGCTCGTGAGGCGCGGACGATGCGCGGAAAAACGGCCGCGAGCCATTGTTATCATTCTAATCGCGCGCGGCCGAGGCGGCGATTACATCGGCTACTTCTCACGACACGCATTACAAATGCAAACGAGCTGGCGCGATATTTTGACGAATAAACGCCGGGCGGGCGGCCCATGCATAAACATCAATCGCGAGCCTTATATAGGAAAGGTCGTGCTCGCTGCTCGATATTTGTCGATGCCGGCGCGCTCGCGCGATTATAACGTATCGAGCTCTCGTGAAAATGTCGGCGGGGCAGGGGGCGGGGGGCGCAAGCGGGCGGGCAGGATGGCGTCGGTCATAACCCGTGTATTTCTCATATCGCGCCAGTTCGCTCGTACTTTTTTCCCTCCCCCGTGCGCCGACGCCGCCGTTGCCCCGCGCGCGTATGTAGCCGGAGGAAAGTAGGCGAGAGAGAGAGAGAGAGAGAGAGAGAGAGAGAGAGAGAGAGAGAGAGAGAGAGAGAGAGAGAGAGAGAGAGAGAGAGAGCGAGAGGGAGAGAGCGCGCGGCCCATAAATTTTACTGCGTAATATTGTTTAACTTCAAACACTGCACTAACGCCCTCCGCGTCGCTTCGCCTGGGCGTGCTGCTGGCGGCAGCCGGGGCAAGATTTAGACGAGGCGCTGCGCGACGCAATCGTCGCGCCGATTTCCTCGGCGATCGGCGCTCGCGGAACAGCGCAGGCCAGACGAGAAAGCTGCAGCTCCGGACGAAAGTCGCGAGTGCGCGGAGAGAGTTCGTCGAACGACGTGGAAGCAGCGCGGCGTACATATTCACGAGTCTAAATGCGGAAAAAGCGAGTTATTGCTGGCCCCCTAGTCGCATTAGCCATTCGATAATTGGCTGGTGGAAAAGTCGAGCGAGAGTGCAGCGTGCTCCTGCGGGATTAATAGAGCGACAGCTCTCCTCTAAACATACGCCAACTTCGGTCAAAATCCTGGCAACGCAATCTCATTTGCCGCAGCGCGCTAAAGACGCCGCTCAAATATTCATCGCGCGCGCGCGCTCCAGATTAGCCGCAATCTCGTTACTTATCTCGCATGCAGATGTAGCGCGGGTAATATTTATCTAAAAAAGAGCGCCAGCCATTGGTCGTTGGCCCCCGCCCGAGAGGACGCGCCGACATCCTCGCTGCGGCGGCGGCGGCGGATTGCACGCATCGCGAAAAGGATTCTACGCTGTGCAGCGCCGGCTCATCAATATTGCCCTTTGCTCATTGTCCTCGCGCAAAGTGCCGAGCCTGGGCGAATCGGCGTGAGCGAGAGGACTTGTTGAGCCAACGCCAGCGCCGACGTCGTTCTATGAATTGGTAACGAGATGCCGCTCTGCCCTGCCGCCGCCTCGCTCTCCTTTTCGTCGCTCGGCCGATTTTTTTACTCGCCAACGACAGCCCGCTCCGAGGAATAATCAAGGCGGCTGCCTCTCCCGTTTGCCACCGAGACGCCAGTGCAGGCCGGCGTTTATGCGAGGAGCCGCGCCGACGCATCAATCTCGACTGCGTTCGCCCGCGGAACGCCAATTGCCGAGCGCCTCGGTTTTTTTCCTCTCTTTTTTGCATGTTGCGCAATAAGCGCATAGAGTAACAATAGATTTTTCAACGGCTGAATATAAAATAGGCTGCAGTTACATTAGAGCGCCGCAGTCTGTCTGTCTGCCTGTCTCTCTCCCTCTCTCTCTCTCTCTCAATCTCTCTCTCTCTCTCTCTCTCTCTCTCTCTCTCTCTCTCTCTCTCTCTCTCTCTCTCTCTCTCTCTCTCTCTCTCTCTCTCTCTCCGCCGCGAGCGCGAGCGCATGAATTTCAAGGAGTAATTTACATGCGTTTATATAACTTTTGCATTATTCTATCGCACTGTTTTGTTTGGGAAAATGTTTGCTCGGCAAATATTTCCGTTAATTCAACGGCTCGCCTAGGCGCTCGCGCTCGACAGCCGTTCGCGACTTGGCAGCCGACAAGCGCGTTCGGTTATCCAATATACTTATGCAACGTCTTTATATCGATTTTCCAAATTAGCATTTCATTGGCGCACCTTACGTGTTTTCTGCATGACGCACAATCACATTATCGCGCATCAGATTTTCACGGAGCGCAGTTTGGATTGGCGGCGTCGCTTATAAACTTGCCCGGGCGAATATTAACAAGTGCGAATAACTGAGAGTCGCTTGGAAATTAAAGGTCATTGCATCTGCTCGGGGGACAGTGCGCAATCTCCGCAACACGGCGCAGCCGCTCATCGAATTAATCGACGCCGCGCTGAAATGTTTAAGAAAGCTGGTATTCCGAAAGCAGCTCGGCAATGAAATCCAATCAAGCGCGAGCGCGGGGCTCGTTGAGCTTTTCCGCGGCTACATATTTCACTCGACGAGCTGTTGGCGGTCGCGCGAACAAAGGCGAGCGCCGGCGATGATTCGGCCGACCGGCCGGCCGGGCGACGCAGCTCGAGCCCTCGATTCCGCGGCCGAGTGTCGCGCCGCTGGAGCGTGGAATGGGCTTGTCTTTGCATAATGCTGCCAAGTGCGGGGAGGGGGGGGGGCGGCGGGCGCGCGCAGGTGGACCAGCTGGATCAAATATCCGGCAAGTATGTTCAACTAATGCGAGTGGGTGGGCGGGGGTCGGTCGGGTGCACCGCCGCCTGCCTCGTAAACACGCAGACGTATGCAGGTAGGCGTGCGAGCGATGCAGCGGCACATATAAGAGAGAGACAAGTTGCGGCCCGAGCCCATTCGTCGTCCGTCTCTGTCCACAGCCGGCTGGCTCGCTCGCTGCAGTGCCAATAGTTATTAGCTAGTCGTAGTTGCGGGTTGGTCGGCGGCCCTTCGTCGCACTGGTTTAGAGCCGAGCGCGCGGCCGAGAGCAGGGCGAGGGCGAGAGCGACGGCGAGAGCGAGGGCGAGAGCGAGGGCGAGAGCGAGGGCGAGAGCGAGAGAGGCCGAACAATGATATCGGCTATTTGATTTGCAAGCGACGACAATGCGGCGAGTCGGCCAGGCATCGGCCATCGGCTCCCTCTGCCTCTCCGCCGCCCCGGCTGCATGCACCAGCAGCTAGCTTGTCAATAGCAGCCGGAGCTTTCGCCGGGCCAACCTTTCCGCCACCTATAGCGCTGGCCTTTTGATCTGCATTCGCCTACGAAAGTGCAGGCGGACCAGGCAGCTTTGTGCCGGGCGCGCGCCTCTCGCTCCTCGACAATGGCAAGTAAGACCGCGGCACCGACTGCAGCGGCAGCGGCAGCTAGCGGCTCGTCTCTTGGAGCGGCGTGCACGCGGCGCGCAAGCCGATCGATAGCCCCAACTTTCCTCTCGCCGAGCCGCCTGCGAATTAAAAGTTTATCGCTGTCGCCCCGCGCGTGTTGCGCGCGCTCGCGGCCCAAGACAAACAATCCATTATGCACGCGCGTTACCGACGCTCCGCGCTTTGTACATTCGCTCGTTGATGCAACTTTAAGCAGCGCTTAACTCGCTTAGACCCGCCGCCTCATCTGTCGTTATAAACTTCAACTTCTTTCTTTTTTCTCAATAATACATGGGGCGCGCTCTACGGCCCGGCGGCCGGCATCTTTCATTCAGCGCCGCGCTTGTTGGCCCGCGCATCTCGTTATTAGCGCCGCTGAAACGCGCAACCCGATATTTCGCGAAACTTACTGCGATCCAATCCAACTCGGCGGCCCCGTGAAAAATGGACTTGATAAATTAGGATGCGCCGAGTAATATCGAGAGGCGAAAGCGCGCCGCCGGATACAAATTGAGTTAAAAGCAATTATTCATAATTCACGGCCGGCAAAGTTGGCGGAGGGATCGCCGATAAAATAAAGGGTATTTTAACGTCATTAGCCGCTAAATAAGAGACGAGCAGTGTCGGTTTTTTGTCGCAGAGATAAGCGAGCGGCCAGAGAGGCCAGTTGGGACAGTTGTCGAGCGGGGCCGAGCCGAAAGCTGCTCGCCGGCGCGGCACGCCCGACCGAGGGTCAAAGTATATCAGAAGAAAGAGACAGCCCGGCCGGAGTGTATCCACAATCCTCGACAATCGAGAGCCGAGCTCGACGATCTCGAGCAGCTTGCGCCAAGCGCACAAAGAGAAGAAGACGTACTCGGCGGAAAACAGCCGGCAGTCAGGTGCAACGGACCTATTGACGTGTTAATTGCACCTGAATAATTAAACAGGGCCGCGCTCTCTCCCTCCCTCCCTCCCACCCTCCCGCCCACCCTCTCTCGGCAAAGCTGCGTCTTTTTTTCCTTTCTCCGCTTTTAAAATGTCGTTATACCAAAGTCCCCTTCTCGCGCTCGTGCGCGCGCGCGGCTAAATGCTCGTTCCGTTCTCTCCGAGATTCTCTCTTCTATTTTTCTTTTCCCAGCTGTAGCACGCGCAAATCACGACCAAGTACTCGACTCCGATGGCTCTCGTTGCGAGGCGCGCTGAATAATTGAGGCGCAGATAGGGCGCTAATCGTAAGAATGAGCTGCTCGGAGCCGCGCGAGCGTGAATGATTAAAGTTCTCCGGGCGCGCACGCGTCCTTCGGTGCGCGGCGATACAGCGATCGCTCGTCTGGCTGATTTCCAAAATAGGCGCGGGAGGCTGTTAACCGAGGCGGCCGGCTGCAGGTGCGAGCGCGCACGACACGATTTCGGCGCTCGCCACCGCCGCGAGGGGTCAACGCGGGCGTCGCTCGAACGGATTTGGAGGGCGCCGGGCCCGATGCAAACCGTGATTGATATCCCGGCGCATCAAGCGCCACTTAAGAGGATTAAGTCCGGGCTGGTGGTGCTGCTGCTGTTGCTGCTGCTGTCGGGGCCAACGAGCAAGAGACTCGGCCGAGCTACCACGGCTCTGATTACAGTTAGCTCAGTCTGCCGGTCCAAATCTCCGGCGCCGCAGCCAACACGCCGGCGCTTACCTGTTACCAAGCGCCCCCCCCCCCCCGCCCTCCTGCCACCACAGCCCCTGACCCGCCGCGCCGCGCCGCGCACACATCTTGACGCTTGGTTTTCGGCCGATGCTCGCCAACGCGAACTGCCTTCTTTTCGCCCTCGTTAGCTCTCAAATGATGATTGCCCGGTCTGATTGACGTCCCCTGGACCCCCGCCCCCTCGCTCACAATTAACTTACTCGCGCCTCATTTCACCTGACATCCATCCCCCCGGGCCTCCGCTCGCCCCACTGTGCGCTACTTCTTTTCTCCCCCTTTCCCAAGGCTCACGGCGCACTTGGCGACACGCAGATTTTCAGCGCATTCTTTCGCGTCAGTCACGTCCAGTCATCACGCGCGTTGCACTCTCTCCGTCTTGCCCTCGCCATCCAAAATTCATAACGAGCGCGTTCCGGCTCCGCGCCGTGACGCGAGTGCTCTTTACACATTGATGCGCCCTTTTCATTCTAAATGATTCCTCGAGCGCGTGCGGAGACACGGCAAAAGTGGCTTCGGCATGCGGCATTGATGCGCGGAGGGCAGCACCGATCGCATCAATGTTTCAGCGGCACCTTGGCCGTGTGCGCCAAGTAACTGGCGTCGCCTTGCCTACGGCGTCGAGTCGAAGGTGCGCGATCGAGTCGTAATCGTCGCGCGACGCCGACCGACCGAAAGAGACGAAGGGCGCGGGCATACTGACCTGCATTTCAGCGCGGCTGCTCTCGAGTCCGCGGCGAAGGCACGCGAGCTGCGCGGCGGACATGGAGCGACATTTCCTGCGGCAAGCTGAAACAGAGAAAAGATCTGCGAGCAGGGCTGCATTAGTCGTCGTGGCGAATTCCATGGAAAACAAGTCCTGTTATTATTGCGAGGCCGAAAGAATGAGCGCGGGCGAGGAGAAAAGCGAGCATCAATCGACAATGCCACTTCTGGCGCGTCGTCGCAACATCAGCGCTTTCTCGTGCTCCATTTTTATCGGGTTTCCCGCTGTTCTTTTTTCGCATTTTTTTAATATTTTTTTTTATTCCGCAGCTCGATTCAAACTTGTTTCCATTGAGTACGTGACAGAAGAAAGAGGAGTATTGAAAATCAGTCGCGTAAATTAAAAAAAAAAAACAAAAAGAAAAAACAAGCCGTGGAGGGGCGAGAGCAGGGCTACAACGCGTTCGCGAGCAGAAAAGTGAAACGATAAAAAAAGGAGAAGCAGGCGCATAGGGAGAGAAAGAGCGAGCGGTACAGCAGTTACAAGCAGAATAAACCTCTCAATAATGAGTACGGCGGAGCGAGAAAGAGAAGAGAGAAGAGAAGCGAAGAGAAGAGGGTGGCGGGAGCGGCGGGGGAGCGCTGGGGTGGCGGGGGAGGGGGCCGCTAGATTCCCTTGGCGAAAACCCGAGAGATGATAAAACAGAAACAAGCCGAAGCGGGCAAAGTAATAGCGAGGCCAATAAAATGTAATGAAATAACATCCAATCCAGGAGAGATATTGTGAAAATATTATTACTAACTTATTACTGGCGCGGCGCTAGCGGAGTTGCGAGGGCGCGCGGGAGGAAGAGAATTGGCTGGCGGAGCCGAGCTGTTTCCTCCCTCGCTCGCTCCTCGCTGCAGGATTGCTTTCTACTTTTCCAATTCTATCTTTAACCTGAAATATTCTATTTCTCGGCGCCCTCTCTCTCTCTCTCTCTCTCTCTCTCTCTCTCTCTCTCTCGCGCGCGCGCTCTCTCGGCGTTCAATCTCGCTGATCATATCGTTCAATAACTGCGCACCAGCGGGCTATTCACGGGCTCGCACAAAACTTATATATCGCCGAGGCCTATTCAGGCTTTCGCCTCGCATTCACGCGCCGCAGCCGCGCCGCCACTCGAAACGCTTTAATTACGATATTACACGTGCCCTCCGCGCTCGCGATACAATTTCCATCGCGCGCCCGCGCCTCGACGTCTTTTCATCGCCGGCTACCCCGGAATAGAACAAAAAGCCCCGCTCGCGCGCCCAGACCTCTGAATGCGTTACGCCTGCTTTGCAAGAGTAATCGCCGATCGGTCCGGCCGCTCGACCTCCGGATCGCGCGCGATCCATCTGAAATGCTGATGGCGCGCCTTATCGCCGCGTCGCGCAGGTCCGACGGCGCTTGCGTAACGGGGGACCCGCGGTTGGGCCGCCCGGGTCGACTTGCACTTTCGGCCGCGCGCCAGGCTCCGGGATGCTCCGAAGTGGCCGGCGCGAAAGAGAACGGCGACCGGCAGCGGCGCCGACGCGAGAGCGCGGATGCATGTCGCGGAGTTCGTTGTCCCGTTGTGTTTACAAGTCTCGGCGTATGAATAAAATAGAGCGAGAGCAGACAACGGAGATAGACGGCAAGTGAGGCGCGGACGCGCATTAGCATCGGCATTGCGAGTTTTCTTGCGCAATATTACTATTAGCCTGCCCCCCCCCCCCTCTAGCCTCGCCGCGGCCCCGAGAAAGTAAATAAGCGGCTGGATTGTTCGGCTGGCGCGACGAAATTAGCCGCGGCGCGGGCATCGCGGCCGCAATGCGCGTAGGCGCGCGCTCGCGCGGAGCGCAGCGTAATTAGCGACAACTTTTCCCTCGGCATGCCGAGCGTTCGCGCAAGGGCCGCGCGCCCCGCCGAGAATTATTAAAATGTCAGTGGTTGAGTGTGCCGATCGATCGATTATTCAGCGCCCGGCACGCAAGTTTTATTTATAAGGAAAGTCGGACTGGCGAGTTTCGCGATGCGAGCTTCGCCGCGTCTCGTACGCAGCCCCGCTCTAGCTTCAACTTTTTAATTTATTGAGGCGAGGCTTTATTTATGAATTGGATTACATAAGTTAAAAGTCGTTAAAAGAAAGGCAGGAGGGAGAGCGCCGAGCGAGGAATCGCGCGACTCGCTACGCACGCAGCCGCTGCCGACTAGGACTATACTTTTGTTTTACGACTTCTTTTCCCGCTCGCTCCGCCGGCTTTTCATAGGAAACTTTAAACGCATATTTATGCATAATTTCGTAGTCGATAAAGGAGGTGGTGCGGCGGGGGAGGGCGGCAGCGAGCAGTAAATAGTGCAATAATCGAGCGAGCCGCGAGCAGCCGAAGAATCGGCGCTGCGCGAGACGACGGCGCGCGCACTTGTGACACGCAGGCGTCTGCTGCCTGGGCAGCGCTAGATCGATACGCCCAATAGAGGCAGCATCTATATAGCTCGCGCGCCCGCGCTCATTTACTTAATTGTGTTCCATATAGGCCCGCGCTCGCTCCCTCGCGCGGCTCGTGTGGACACAGGCTGCATTATTAAAAGTCGGATTCCTCGCGGCCCCGAGAGGCGGCGAGATCGCGGCGGCCGATCGATCCGCCGCGGCCGGTTCGGCGGCGCCGCGCGAAAAGTGGACCGCAGTAATGCCGCAATTAACTGCGGCGCCGCCCGCGCGCGCTCACAGGTGGTTGGGCAATTTTTGTATTTAGCGGTCAGAAGAGTGCGCGCGCGCGTCGCCGCCGCCGCCGCCACGCGTCCGCTCCATTATGCACGCTCGCGGCGACGCCCGACGGCTTCCTCCCGTCTCTCTCGCACCCGTGCGCCGCTCGCCGACGGCCGGCGATCGCACTCGGGCGCTCGGCTGCGCATCGCATCAAAATATACGGCGCGGCCAAATCATTTGGAATGTCCGGCGATGCCTGCGAAATATCATTAGGCGCGATGCCGACGGCCGGGCGCGCGCGTATCGCTGGCATTGCGCGCGGGCGCGCGCGTGCATCGCATTTCCGCGCGTCCCCCGTGCGCCGGCCGCCTGGGCGTGGGCGCGTTGTCCGGGTGCAAGGGCCGGCCGCCGAAGGGAACGGCAAGGACAAGAGGCGAGCGGAGCGCGGCGGAAAGCGCTCCGAGCAGTCGAGGGGCCGAAGAGGAATAAGTGTTGCTAGCCGCGAATATGTAGCGAGGATAATCGAATCACGGGCGCGCGGGTGGGAAAGGATTTGCGAGAGGGAGCTCGTCACGAGGCATATTCCAGCTCGGCACGCACGTTGCACGGGGGCTGATCCTGCGGCGGCGGCGGCGGCTACGGCGGCGCGGCTGCTAAATTGCGTTTCCCGTAACGCGTTTAGCCGCGAATCGAGCGCTCGACGAAGCGTCGGCGCGCGCGGCGATCCTGCAGAATAAAACGTCTGACTGCAAGCTCCCGCCGCTAATGAAAAGCTCGCCCAGATCCGGCGCGTTCTTGCCTCTCTCGAGACAGTCGCGCAGCGCAAATTCGATTTGGAATCCGGAGTTTTTTGCCCGCTAATACTCGATATCGCTGTGCGCCGCTGCCGGGTGCAACTGCGGGCATTAGGTTGCTCTCCGGCTCGGCGATCTTTCGATAACCTCGCTTGATGGTATTGGCAATGTCGGCATCGCCACTCGAGTTGCATTGCGGCTCTAGGCTGCACTCAAACAAGCGCGCGTTTCATTCGCTCTCGCGCTCGCAGCATCGCGCGCGCGCGCCTGTGTGTGCGTAGTTTCCTAGGCGCAAACACGGGCTGGCTCGCCGACGCTCTCGCAGCCTCGCACACACGTAGCCGGAGCGCCCCCGGCCAGAGATATCGTTAGCATGCCTTGCTAATCACGGACTCGATAATAATACCGTGATTGATAGGACGCAGCTCGAGCCGAGCGAGGCAGCCAGGCAGAGAGCGAACGGCCGGCTCCCCCTCGAAACTGCTGCCCGGCGCTGCTACCCCTCGAGAGTCACTTTGGACGTTGCCCTCTATTTCCATTCCATCTTGCCTCCTCCGCCTCGTCCCGGGTGCCGCGGGCGAGCGCGCGCGCGCGCGCCGCCGCCTCCTCCTGCCCCCGCTGGCCGGCTTTTCGGCCAAGCGCGCTCCTCGCGCTCTTGCCCCGACGGTGGTCGCCGGATCGCAGACGCACAGCGCGGCGCGATCGCGATCTGCCGCGCGCTCTCGACGGCAGCGCGAGCGCCGAGATCAGGTGATCGGGGCGCTGCCGCGCCGAGATCGATACGCCGCGACGCGCGTAGGTGCGGCGTTCCGAGCGGCCGAACGAGCTTGCGCCGCTGCCCCCGGGCCTGCTCTTACTTTGCGGCTTGTGGCCGCGCGTGCGCGACTATGATAGCATTAGCATCGCTGATTAATGTATGCCGGGGCTTGTTTCGGGCGCTGATTGACTCGCCGGCGACGCGCGCGCCGAGCGGGAGCGCCGGCCGCGGCGGCGCGACACGAGGCCGAGTCGTGATTGAGCTCGTAAAAACGTCGCGACGTCCGGGCCGGACTGACGGCCGGAAACTCGTCCGCGACGGCCCGAGACGGACAAGGCCAATTCTTCGGGTATGACGCGCGCGCGACGCGGCCACGGCGGCGGCGATCCGCAGCGCGGTGTCAACGAACGCCGCACCGATCGAGCCGCTCGCTCGCGCTCGATCCTCGCAGCCGCGAACCCGGCAGTCCGTGAAATCGCAATCGAACGATCGATCCCAGGCGTACGCGGAGCGAGAAAACGCAGCCGCGCCGAGCCGAGTCGGTTCGGCTTACAAAGCGTCGCGGCGGTGGCGGCGTCGTTGGGGGCCCCATTAGGTATTTATTAACATTACGAATTTATAGATGCCTCATGGGCGCCCCCAACGTGCCCAGCGGCGCTGGCGTCGTCGTCGTCGTCCTCGTCTCTGCTCCTTCCGAGCGGCGCGGTATTAAAGTATCAATGATGTAATATTAAACTTGATGATTTTTAAGGGGGCCGCGCGCCTGGTCGGAATAATTGACGAGTGACTTGCGGGCGAGGCTCTCCGTCGGAATCGCGCGGCGAGACGACAGAGGCAGGG